TTTTGCTAGTTAGGCGAATTATGAAAAGTGAGCCATGAGGCTCATATTTAGACTTATCATTTCAAGAAACTCCATCATGATGTTGACACTTTGCAGCAGTAAGGTTGTTGTGTTGCAGCAGCACACGAACAGTCTGACGCAGCAGGAGATGAACACCGGATATCTGAGTGAGAGAGTGAGGCAGCAGGTGAATGAGTTTGAATTGTGGAGACATTACAAACACACACGTATCCAACACACAAACACAGACAGTTAACAGAATCACAGAACTTCACTTCTAGCATTGGAGTTAATGTACTACTCTCCAGAAGGCCAACAAAGATGTAGTCAATAAGAAGGAAAGTGAGTTTGGGCATTTCCATGCACTTCAAACCAATTAGAGCTTTACTGAAGAGCATAGCTAAAAGAACCGTCCAATCAGAGAGCTTCAGATTCTGTTTCCATGCAGTTTTTCATCTTTGTATAACTCGCTGGACAAAGTATAGCATGTGGAACAACAAACCATTTGCTAAGCTTAACACCACCTAGAAACTGTTGCTAACCTTTAAGCTAGTATTAGCATAAAGTTAGACAGTTACAACATAGAAGTAATGCCTGTGTTAAAGCTTTAGTAATATTAGCAATAGTATAATATAAAACCTTGCCTTGACAGGGGGTAGACCTGTACTTGTATACTTAACTAGTTTTTGACATTGCCATCTTGATTTTTTTGGGGACCAACAGCAACCCAGAAGAGAAGTAAAGTACAATGAAACACTGAACAAGACATTTTTACAATTCACTTTTATAAAGTGAAAACACAACCCGTAATATTTTATTTTTTTACCATTTAACTCTAAATAGGGGCAGCATTAACTAAAAGTACATCATGCAGTATTAAAGAAGCTCTGAAACAGGAGTTGGAGACCGTGAACCCATATTGAAAATGTCTACTGAGGTGAAAATAAAACTTAGGGTTTAGGCACTTTGGTATTGTCTTAATTTGTCAGACTCTGTTGATTCCACTTGGTTTTAATCAATAATTGCAATAGTTCTTATAGCACAGCAACCACCTACTAGGGGATAACAGGTGTAATGTAATGGAGGGGTCTTGTCCTGAAACTGTTACATAACAACTGAAACTAACACACACACACACACACACACACACACACACACACACACACACACACACACACACACACACACACACACACACACACACACACACACACACACACACACACACACACACACACACACACACACACACACACACACACACACACACACACACACAGGAAACACAAAAGAAAATAACAACAAAATAAAAATGTTGCAGTATATCTGTTCAAAGCTGTAAACTTTTAGGATAAGTAGTATTGTTCAGAAATATGCAAAACAGTTGGCTAAAATGAATAAGAATAAAAAAATGTTTTTAAAATATAAATCTGTACAGTGGAAGAAATAAGTATTTGATCCGCTGCAGATTCTGTACGTTTACCCACTTACAAAGAAATGAACAATCTATAATTGTAATGGTAGCTTTATTTTAACAGTGAGAGTAAGAATATCAAAGACTGCTGCCGACATGCAAACACACCCTCTGCGATATACCTTTAATCTGGATCTCCAACCTTCCCCCACATTTGACCCTAAATATAAACCTTCTCCTAATCAGGGATGGAAAGCTATCCTCCCAGGGGGCACGCTGGTCCTTGCTACAGTCCTGGGAGGGAGAAGGGACCCTATCAGCTGAATTCAAAACACACCTCCCCTCATACGCAGCCACTCGACTGCCATCTTACATGGCAAGACGTTAGGGACACATGAACCTGAGGGTAGAACCGTGTGGAAGAGTGTGCACTCAGAATGCCACTTGTACGTGCAGTGTGTGCGCTGTGTGGCAGGAACTATTGCAGTGCCAGTGCAAAATGTGCTTGTATTCAGTTTCCTGTGCTCCATGTATTGCCATATAAGATGTGCTTGGTAAGATGCACATATGTAATAGTACTTCTTATGGGCACGGACACTGCATTTCATTATATTCTAATATTATGTTACATATTTAATTTGACTGACACTCATAAGAGACTTATAAACTGAAATCCTTTTTTTTCCCTTTCCCTGTTGTTATTGGCCAATGTCCACACCTTTAATAATGAACTAGTAACTTTTATCCTTAATATATTTAAACCAGGGGAGTTATATTAAAAAACACAAATTAGAATCTAAAACCACCTTTGGTTTCAGGCAGTAAACATGTTTATTTCTGCTATAGTCGGCCATTTTTACAGCATGCAGAGAGACTCCCTTTTAATGCCTCAAGTGGCCATTAGAGGAACTGCAGTGTTTGGCCCTGCTCAGTAATAAACCTACCAAATGTGAAGTCAATCAGATAAAAGGGCCATCATCAGGAAAGAATTAAAGCGTCCAATTACTTTGCTTTAGGAACGAATATCTACAGAAACAATGACATTCATAAGTTAGCATGCTAACATAATTCCTCTATAACCTAAAATAGTAGTAGAGTGAGAGCGTCGTTTTGGCTAGTAAATAAAACTCTAACGCAGATGTATTGTTGTCCAGAGGTTTTATTATTTCAGTGCCAGTAGATGGAGCGTCAGTCTGGAGGAGACGAGACCAAAATCTATTTCAATAATTAGACTTCAAATCAATTTAGAAAATTAAACTGTAAAAACACTTAGTAAGATGCAATGTTATACATAGATAGATACAAATATTAATTTCACCAAAAAAGAAATACATCCAGCCGTTCATTTGCCTAATGTCTTAGGATAACGTTTTCTTAGACCATTTCCCCCAGAAATGCTAAAGGCTTTGTCTTATTTCAAATTAAAAGTCTCACTTTTAGTGAAACTGCAAAAACACCTTCATTGATCTTTATTTTTCATGATTTCTTTAGAAGGCTTTGAAAAATTGATTGGTTTTGCAGAAAATAAATGACACAATAAAGTGCACCGCTATGATGCGAAAAAATAAATCAGTGGTTGGAAAACGTTAATAATTAAGAGGAAAGACATAAGAAATGAGGATGATAAAGTAATGTCGGAAGAAAAATCCTATTATGAAATACAGTTTCATATGA